AAAAACCCTCTGAAACCACCACAAAATGGACAAATTACCAGAAATAAACCACAAAAAGAGGCTAACTAACTCTAACACCACCCTAATACTCAGACACTGAAGTAAAATGTTAAATATTTTAAACCGTGAAGCTGAAACTTCAGTGGACCAATGAAAAACCAGCGAGTGACGTCATCGGCGAGGTCGTCACCTTGATGTGGAACTCCAGGTTCTCGTCCATGGAGTAGATGTGGTCGAAGATGTCACTGGCGATGCGAGGGATGATGCCCTTCAGCCGGGGGTCGTGCAGCTTCCCCTGAACAACGACAACAACAACAACAAGTTAAAGACGCACAACAAACAAACATCCAAACAAACAACACAACAGCCGACCGACCTCCATGGTGTGAGTCTTTCCTGACGACGTCTGACCGTAAGCAAAGATGGTGCCGTTGTAGCCTCCCAACACATCTGCAGCACAACAACAACAACAACACGATGAGAAAAACACAACAACAACAACAACAACAACACACTGATGAGAGGACAAACGATGAACTCCAGCACAGCGGGAGTCTGAACACCGACCTCTGACGATCTGCTTGGCGCAGGTGTCGTACACCTGAACCTGCTCCGAGTTCGGAGGAAGAACTCTGTCGAACACGTACGGCTTCCCCTGAAACACACAAAACACTCAGAGTCACCGCCGCTGATGATGGGGAGGAAAGACAAACACAATACTGCTGCATCCAGGGACGACACACCTGTATATACCTGTGCTTCACTTCTACTACACCTGGACACACCTGTACATTTGTACAGTACTGGTACACACCTATACACACCAGAACACACCTGTACTATACTGGTACACACCTGTATACACCTGTGCTTCACTTCTTCTATTCCATCAATAAACTTTATTACACTTGGACAGACCAATACACACCTGTCCACACCTGTACTACACCTGCACTACACCTGCTCACGGCTTCATCGTGTGGAACTGGTCCGTGGGACCGGCTGGTCTTTACCAGAACTGAGAGCTGCTGACATGAAACCGTCGGACGGTTTTTATCAGGATCCACACAGACGGACAGACGGACGCTCAGACTCTCAGCAGGACGGAAGTTTAAAATGTCAGCTCAGAGAAACAAACGTCAGAACAGAGACGCAGCTCGTTCGGTTCTGCTCTTTGAAAGCTGCAGAACGTTTGAACGTGTTTCTGAGCGATGATGATCTTAGAACACGTTTAACCACCACAAGCCTCTTCTGTAAGACTGACGTGTCACGTGTGACACAGAGAACATACAGAGAACATACAGAGAACATGTATGATAACAATATATCTGCTGATCTGACGTCTTCGGTGTCAATCTGATAGAAAATGTCCACAGACGCTCCGGGCCTGATTCAATATGATGCCTGTCGCCATGGAGACTGCATCCCACTGGGAGACGACTGGAACGACCGAACCAATGAGACGGAAGAAAGATGATTGCTGCTGAATGATGCAGGACACACACACACACACNTAAATACTTAAATATGAGACGAAGGAGCAGCGACAGAAACCAGCAACAAAAACTAGACACAGAACCACAACGAGACCCAGACCGGCTGAAGGGAGACACAGATGGAAGCAGCCTGGAACAAAGACACGTAAACAACAACAACAACAACAACAACTAGACACAAACAACACAAACTGTCGGCTGTAGAGGCTGTAAACACAAACATCTGGACCCCGGGCAGCCTCCATTTTGTCTCGCGCTTGTGACACCTGTGGACACCTGGACAGCCGCCGGACACGTCGGTCGGCTGCAGGGGGACACCTGTCCTCAGGTGCGCGGGGCTCCGGGTCCCCGTTGCCATGGTAACTACGGACAACCCTGAACGTCGCTCCGAGCTGGCGGCGCTGCGCTAATGACGCAGTCTGGGCGCAGACCCTACGTCACCGACGTGCGATCCTGCGCGCGGCCGCAGCGAAGAGTGCGTAGCGGCGTCGTGAATCCCGCCGCAGAGCTAATGCTAAAGCTAACGGACAGGTAAATGAAAGGTGTCCTACCAGCTCCTCCTCCTTCTCCATCCCGGTGGGCATCTGCGGCACGGCCCGGCTGATGGCCCCGCTGTCCGCCGCCTCCGGCAGCTCGCGGCTCCGGTACACCGGCAGCGGCTTGGCGGCGTCCAGCGCTCGCGCCCGGAACGACAGTTTACTCATTGTTTGCGCCAAATCAGCGACGACCCGCAAAGCCGCACAAAAAGCCGCAGACAGCGGCGAGAACCCGCTCCGGACGGCCGAGGCCCCGCAGCACAGCTCAGCGGCCGCCGCTGCTCCGGTACCCGGCGGCTGGACGCATCTGTGGCGGCGTTAACGGGACGGAGGAGCCGCTGCTCCGGTTTGCTCTGCTGCCTGCACCGCGGGAAACATGGAGGACATGTCGATCCCAGCAGCCACCGCGGCACCGCGTCACCCAGACGGGAGGTGCGCGCGCAGCTCCTGGACAAACTAATAAAGTTTCAAACCGAAAAAACTGGACTGATTCTGAGGATCAATAATCAATAAATCAATCTAAGGTTCTCAGAATTGGGATGAAACAAACAGCGTCACTACAAGAACATTCTGATCAGATGAACTGATGATTGAAACAATCCTCACCTTCACTCACCTGCACAGGATCCATTACATACATCCACCCCCTGATTGGCTTTCATCAATAAATCACGATCAATTCATTTTGGCCTGTTTAGCAAGAATTTACTGAAAAGACAGAATTCCACAAAGTAATGTCAATTAATTCAAACACAAAGTGTAAAATAAGTGATTCCATAAATATCAGCGTGACTCCTCTGATTCATAACAGTTGGTGCCAGAAGTCACAGCTCAAGTCAGGGGACGATACAAGAACATTTCAAAGAACATTTCTTGGAGAAAAGTTAAATTCAAAAGATGGAAGGAATATGGAACATGAGCAGATCTGGCAAGAGCAGGACGTCCTTAAAAACTGAGGAGGAAGAGACCAGAGAGGGAGGCCACCAAGACTCCTGTGACTCCTCTGAAGGAGTTTCCAGCTTCAGCAGCTCAGATGGAGAGACTGTTCATACAACTGTTGTCTGTTCTTCACCATCAAAGCTTTATGGGAGACAAAGAGAAAGACTCTGATGGAAAAAGTTCATATTAAATCTGGACCAGAGTTCACCAGAAGACATGTGGAGACTCTGAAGTCACCTGGAAGAAGGTTCTCTGGTCTGAGGAGACCAACATAGAGCTTTTTGGCCATCAGATCGAGCACTGCGCATCATCACAAACACACCATCCCCACTGTGAAGCACGGTGGTGGCAGCGTCATGATGAAGCACGGTGCTGACAGGTAGAGAAATCCTGGAGGACAACCTGATGCAGTCTGCAGGAGAACTGAGACTTGGAGAAGACTTACTGTTCTCATTTAGTTATGAGTCTTTTGTAAATTCTTCTCACAAAAGCCAAATTACATTGACAATGATTCAATGTTGAAAAGCACTAAAAGGGAGAACTTCAGAGTGGGGTGGTACTTTTTATGGGGACTGTACATGTGGGAATGCAAGTTTACTCACCGCTAAATGTGTCAAGTTTTCTAAAAGTCTTCTAAAAACTGACTTTTAATAGTAGAAGAAGTCCNACACACACACACACACTCTGCTTCACTGCATCATTTGAACCAAAGTGTTTGTTTGAAGCGTCCTTCGGCCTCTTCCGGCCCGAGAGCCACCTATTGATCCTCCACTGCCCATCACGTGACCCTGCTGGCCTTGAAGACAGAATATTTCCCATGAGGCCTTGCAGCAGCCCCCCTCCCCCCCCTGCTCTGTGTGAATGACATCCGTCAGCGAGCAAACACATGAAGGAATGAGCAGAGTTTGAACCTTTTAATGACAATCAGCAGATAAATAATCAACTAATGAGCTTCTGATTAGATTTATGGGATTTTTACACACAGATTAAAAACCTTTTTTGGGAAAAGTTATGATTTGATTCAGGTTTTGGGTGAAAGTTATCCAGTTAAGTTTCTTTGTTGTTAAAGACTTAAAGGTCAGACGAGCTTCTATTTCTGCTGAGTTCATGACGTCTCGTTATAAAGATGAAGGAAACTCTCCTGATACGAACCAAGCAGCAGCCTCGTTATGTTTAACATGAACTTTTCTTTTCTGTGTCGTCGTCTGAACCTGAAGAATCAAACTGAAGCGATGTGACGTCTGCTCTGTTGTTCATTATGTTCATTATATTAAACTCACCGTTCGTTCATATTCACTGGGGTTCCTGAACGTCTCATAAACAAACTCTGAGCTGCAGGTTGAAAAGTGGATTATTTACAAAAATAGGACAAATAAATCCATTCAGTTGTTGCTCCGATGAGACATTTAAGTCCATAAAAAATATGATAGAATTAATATAAAACACCAGAAGTCTGTGATTGTAGCAGTGAATTCTATAAACTGTGTGAATGTGGAGGAAAGAGGCTCATATTTATCTTCATTAAACTCTGAAGTCACTTATTCAGATTTCTGGATTTCAGCAGTTTGATTTACAAACGTTCTCCTTATTTCTTCATGTTTGACGTCTTTGTCTTAAATATATTTAGACTCTCATCGTGCTTCCTGTCACGTCTGTGGTCGATGGGATTGATTGATTCTATTGATCAGTGATCAGGTCCAGCTGAGCGCTCACACCATTCACCATTTTATTGACTCTAATCAGTGTTTTTATTAGATGCATGTTTATTTCTGCTTCATTCATCCAACCTGAGGTTTATTTTCTGCTTCGGTGACGTCAGCAGTTCAGTCGGCTGCTTTGGTTTCATGTGTTTGTTTGTTTGTTTGTTTGTTTGTTTGTTTTTAAATGTTAAATAAAGGTTGTTTACATTCACTAAAACAAATCACCGGATAGACAACAGATAGAATATTTTACAGATGTTATTGAAAGCTACGTACATGACGGACTAAAAACTGGGAAATAATTTTCTTAAATGTTGCTTCATAAATGTTCTGTTTTGTTAAATTACAAACAAACATGATTTAAAAAGTTGACTGTAGGGAAAAAAAAGCAAATATAAATAATGTCCACATTAAAAATCTGTGTTTTTATAAATAGTAACTTTTACAAGATTAAATTAAATTAAATTAAATTAAATTAAATTAAATTAAATACAGATTTTTGTCGTTGACACTTTCTTTTTAATTCAAACTTTTTATTAATTATAATTATTTCTACCATGTGGCTCGTTTCCCCCTCAGTCCACATGGAAGTTAATGTCTGTGTTTTATAAAAGCTGAATTGATCCACGAGTCTCTGTTTGAATTAAACACATAAATAGTCGATTAATGAGCAAAAAATAAGAAATTAAATGAAGCTAAATTCATACAATACGGAGTGTTTTTGTGTTGACAGTTAATTATTTTAAATCTATTTCTGTGAGTTTGCTTGATTTGTTTTCTACAGTCAACATGTTGATTTTTTTCTTTTCTTTGATCCAGACTGTGTCTGTTTGAAACAAATCAATAAAAAGTCCAGAAATAGGAGAAAAAATAAAAAACAGGAAACTAGTCCAGGCTCTGACTCACCGCGTCCACCTGCTGATCAATAACCTGATCGATAGTAAATAATAATAATAATAATAATAACAAGTGATGAGAAGCAACAAACAGCTGATTCAGACTCCATTGTTGCTGCACACACACACACACACACACACACACACACACACACTGGGTGGGCCCCGGTCCCGCTGGTCCCGGTCCCGGTCCCGGGGCTCGGTCCCGGACTCACCGCCACCACCACCGTGTCCTCGCCGTTGAATTTGGGGACGTCTTTGTCTCCGCGGCTCCGCTCGGCGTCGTTGAGCGGCCTGAAGCGGCACATCACCTTCACCCCGCACACGCCGCCCTCCGCCGCGTCCATCCCGCACCGCAGAGCACCGACACACCGGGAGCTTCCGCCGACAGCACGCCCAACACGCCGCTCGTCAAGCCGCGCAACAACACGCCGAGTTGTCCGGTTCGCGGGCGGGTCTCCGGTGCTGCTCTGTCTCCGGTAAACAGTGTGATGCTGAGCGGCTGAATCACCTCAACACAGGTCCACCCCGGAGCACCGAGCCGCGGGGAACTCTGGGACATGGAGTCCTGCTGCTGCACCGCAACATAAAAAAACATGAATTATTTAAGTTGGCATTTAAATTCAAACGTCTGTGTTTGTTGATTTAAAACTAAATTCTTTTTTTTTTCCACCTTGAGTTCAAGATTTCCAGATGGTTAATTAAAATGACCATTAAACGTCATATAAAACCCACTTAAACCCACATAAAGCTAACCAGCAGTATTACTATATGTGAAAAATGATAACTAGCGGACTCTATGTGAAGCTAATGACATGCTAAATTATGTTAATCATCGTCTAATATAGTAACATAAAAGCTAACCAGCATTAAATATGTATTAGTCTGGTAAAACAAAAAAAAAAGGCTAATTCGGTGACCTAATGTTAGGCTAATGACATGCTAAATTATGTTAGCCACCATCTAATAGGGTAACATAAATCTAACCAGCATTAAAAATGTATTAGTCTGTTTAAACGGCTAACAGGCTGACCTAATGTTAAGCTAATAGCGTGCGAAATGATGTTAGCCATTATCCAATAGAGAAACGTAACAGCTAAGCAGCAGTAAAACTGTATTATTGTCTGGGAAAAGGCTCAGAAGCTGACCAAATGTTATGCTAATAACATGCTAAATTATGTTAGCTACCATCTAATAGAGTAACATAATAGCTAACCAGTCAAAAAAAAAAAGTTTTCTGTAAAAATAAAAATAAAAAGGCTAACTAGCTTGCCTAATTTTATGCTAATAGCATGCTAAACTACATTCTAATAGAGTAACACATAAGGTTACCAAATGTATTTTTATGATCTCTTTAAAAAAGGCTAAAGGCTAACCAGCTGACATATTGAGCTGCTGTCATAGATTAAGTTCACCATTATATCATACGTTAACATGAAAGCTAACCAGCCGTAAAAATGTATTATTATCTGTGAAAAGGCAAGCTAGCTGACCTTATGTTTAGCTAAAAACCTAATTATGTTAACCATCTAATATAGGAACATAAAACCTAACCAGCAAAAAAAGAAATTAGAATTTGTGAAAAACAACTAACTGGCTGACTTCATGTGAAGCTAATAACCTCATAATGAGCCATGATCTAACAGAGTAACATCAACGCTAACCTGCAGTAAAAATGTATTACGATCTGTGAAAAACGGCTAACTAGCTAACTTTATGTGAAGCTAATAACATGTTAAACTATGTTCACCATAGTCGACTACAGCAACATAAAAGCTAACAATAATAAAAAAAAAGGACTATAATTTGTGAAAAAAGGCTAGCTAGCTGACTTTATGTTAAGCTAATAGCATGATAAATTATGTTCATCATCTACACTGAACAAAAATAAAAACGCCCCTTATGTCAAATATAAGAGTTTTATGAACATTTGGGTTATGCAATATATAGAGAAACTCAAAATATATTTTCAGTAATGACTGATCTTCGTATCGGCATTGATAACATCGTGGTCCGGCCATTTGTAGCGGATTGACAGTCCTTTGAACATGATAGGGGTCAAGTTGAGGAATTAGATTTTTCAGTATCTTGTGCGTCCGCCAGCTGCATCTCTCAGAGCAACACATCTTCTTCACATGGAGTTGATCAGATTGTCTGTGGTGGCTCCTGGAATGTTACTCCATTCCTCCTGGAGTGCCACACGGAGCTGATCCACATCGCCTGGAACTGGAACACGGTCCCAGACACGCCTATCCAGAACATCCCAAAGATGCTCTACTGGGGACATGTCTGGTGAATATGCAGGCCAGTCCAGAACTTCAGTGTCCTCTGTTTGAAGGAATTCCATGCAGATGCGGGCAGCATGAGGTTGGGCATCGTCATGTTGAAAGGTGATGTCATGCTGGCGCACAAACGGGAGAACAATTGGGGTGAGAATCTCGTCCTAGTATCTTTGTGCATTGAGGTTCCCTTCAATGAAGTGCAGCGGTGTTCTGTGCCCGTATGTGATGCCTGACCACAGCATCATGCCACCACCTCCATGGGCAGCCCTGGGCATAACATCTGCACCTGCAAACCGTTCACCCACGCTTCTCCAGACACGCTGTCATCCATCTGCATCATACAACTGGAACCTGGATTCATCCATGAACATCACTCTTCCCATGTGAGCAGTGAGATCCAGACCACGGTGAGGGCGCCGAGCATGCAAGTTGGCTTCTCGTAGGCGGTTACGGACAGTCTGAGGTGTCTGCGTCTGTTGTGCAGACCAGTAGGCTCATCAGCTGTGTGTGTCGCTGGTCTTAGCCGGTCCAGATGGACGAGCCGGATGTGGCGATCTTGTGCTGGAGTGGTCACACATGGCCGACGAGGATGAGGCCGATTTGCAGTCGTGCCAGTCTGTTGGAAACGAACTCTTAAACGGCCTATGGTCCGATAATGGACACTGAGCCGTGCAGCTACTGCTCTGGTGGACATCCCTGCATCCAGCATGCCAATGGCACGCTCCCCCATAACTTGCCACATCTGAGGCATTATGACTTGTGACAAGATCTGACATTTTGGGGTGGCCTTTATTGTCCCCAGTCCAAGGATTGTCCAGCTGTTGCTCATTTTGTCTGATCACACACTGGACATGCCCACCCATGCACTGAGTAATGCTCACTGACAGCAAGTTGGATTAAAAATTATACACAAATCAAGAGAAATATTACTTTTGTACAATAAAATGTCAGCAAATGCTCATTTACAGTTGTTATCTCCACATGGCAACAATATCTGACACGGGGCGTTTATATTTTTGTTCAGTGTAATATACTATAAAAGCTAACCAGAAGTAAAACTGTTATCTGTGNGCTAAGCTAACCGAGAGATGACCTGCAGCTAAGCTAACTGGTGCTCAGAAACGATTAATTTCTAAAATCACATAAGTAACCTGCATGAAAACATCTGGAGCTAAACTATAAACACAAAACTACAGGAGTCACATCAGATCAACGACGTCTGGAAAACAACATCTAAAGACCTCCTCAGAATCAGCTGATCCTTCATCTGCAGAACCTTTATCTACTGGCCAGAGTTCTACCTTCAGACTGTGAATATTCCAGTGATCTGGTGTCAGGTTCTAGCAGAACCCAGATGTGTTCTTCCTCCTAAATGTCATGTGTCTATCTGCTGTACTGATGAAGTTCTGAGGCTCAGAAATGATGGAAAAAGTCCATTAAAGTGATCAATATGGACCCTCCTCTGTGGACTTCAAGGACCTGGAGCTCTGGAACATTCACAGTCTGGAGGTAGAACTCTGGTCAGTAGATAACGGTGCTGCAGATGCAGAACCATCTTTTTTTTGTTTCACTGATCGTATATAAAAAGACCCACAATCTAAGGTTCTGCTGTGATGAAAACAAAGATTAAAATAAAGTTTCAGTCACGTGAACTGAGATGTTTGAGACTCACCGGCAGATACTGGCAGCCGGCTTTCCTCCTGAAGACGAAGAAGCCATCGGGGTTGTTCTCATCGTCGGTTGAAGACGGAGGAGACTGAAGACACAAGAACATCTGGATAAGCTATCAATCTTTATTATACGTGAGTCGATCAGACAGATGTGCTGCTGATCAGACAGATGTGNTAAAAGCTAACCAGAAGTAAAACTGTTATCTGTGAAAAGGCTAACTAGGTGACTGATGCTAAGCTAATGACGTGATAAACCAGATACCAGCAGTATCAACACTGTGTAAAGTTTAACAAGGTGACTTTGTTAAATAACACGACAAATTACATTCAAAATGATCAAATATAACATAAAAGCTAACCAGCAGCAAAAATGTATGATCATCCATAAAAAAACCATGTCTGACTTAATGCTAAGCTAATAAAGTTATGCTATATTACCTTCCTGCAGCACTAACTAGCTTGAATCCTCGGTGACACTGAACTCTCCAGCTACCTGCACAGAACAGAACACAAAGGGCTTCGCTGCTGCCGCTGAGCTTCACCCAAAACAAGCTTTAGTCTTAAAATCCACATTCCTGTTTTTCTTCATGTCACTCCGAACGTAGAGACTGAAGTGAAAACAGAACCAGTGACAGCAGTCCATCGATGTGTTTTATTAACGTGAAACAGAAAGTCAGTGAGCGAACCGGCCGACAGGCTGCTGCTGCTTCTTCTTCTGCAGGAAGAATGAAAGCTGTGCAGCTTCAGCTCAGCATCTCTCACTTCACCTTTAAAAATATAAAAACTTCTGTTACAGCTGCAGATTCCATGTCTCTGTTACAGGATACAGGTTTATTCTTTTGTTTTCAGTGATCTGAAGGCCGTGAGGAGACTCTTTTATACAAACATTTAAAAAATAAAAACTAAACCTTGATACAGACGAACAAAAACAATCTGGGAAAGAAAGAAATCCATTTCATCGTTTGGGGGGAGGGGGGGGCAGATTTGAGATTTTTTTTTTTTTTTTTTTTAAAGAAATACAAAATGTAAACACAGAAATAAATAACCAATCAGAGCAGAGATACAGGCCTCATCATGGACCATGTAGGGCAGACACAAAACGCATCATGGACCAATCAGAGCAAAGATACAGGACTCATAACGGACCAATCAGAGCATGGATACAGGACTCATCATGGTCCAATCAGAGCAGAGATAAAGGACTCATCATGGACCAGTCAGGGCAGAGATACAGTACTCATCATGGACCAATCAGCGTTAAGATAAAAGACTCATTGGGGACCAATCAGAGCAGGAGAAAGGATTCGTCATGAACCAATCAGAGTAGAGATATAGGACTCATCATGGACCAATCAGACGGGGTTACAGGTGATTCTGCAGTCACATGACGAGGATGTGCTTCAGAAACTAAAGTGATGAATCTATTTTACAAACTGTACAACGACAATAATAATAATTATT